GGCGATGGCGCGCTCGAGGCGGGATTTGAAGAAGAAGAAGGAGGCCCAGCTTGTTGCGTTGCCGAGGAGGTTGGGGGTTAGGCCGCGGTAGAGGGCGGCGAGCGGGCGGTCGGTGCGGGCGAGGGCGCGGATGACGGAGACGGTTGTTGGCGAGGAGGCTGTCGTGGAGGCGGAGAGGGCGGTGCGGTAGACTGGGGAGGGGGTTTAGTTGTAATGCTATAAAGGCCAATCAACGGGGAGATAGCAAAGTAGGGTAAATACTCTGCATGCGCGTCTTGACGATGTCGAGAGGGTGGACGATCAAGGTGGCCATGGAACCGGCCGAGAGCCCGGCGACGGTCTCAACGAGGGCGGGGGAGAGGCCCGCATCTTTGGTTTTCGTCATAGAGACGTTGGTAGTTGTCGCTACATGTCCGGTGGAAAAAAAGAAATATTCTCCTTTTTTAAGTTGCGCATATCGAGGGGTGGTTGCAATTGTCAGCGATTAGAAAAAAGATTCTAAAAGGTATGACGCAAGGGCCCAGAGCAAATGCCGGCCCCCGGCCACCCTCGGCCGAACAAAGGAAAAGCCGAAGGGACCCAGATGGCCGGCGGCCCGGGAATTTGAGATAGGTACACAGGATAAGACAGTGCAGGGGAAAAGCCCACTGAAATCCAGTTTAAAAACCGAGGCACTTTTGTTTACACCTCGCTCATCATGGCGGAGTTGGTCCGTTATTAGAATAGTTATACAGTTTTGGTCATGGTATCCTGCAGTCCAGTTCCCATTCCTTACCATCCCCCAACCCCATCTTCCCCTGTCGTCATGTCGCGGCGCCCCCCATTTTGGGTCGGCCGCCGGCCGTCGTTGTACTGATACAATGCGTGTAATAGCGAGTCCGCCGTGATGTGGTCGCTTAAGAGAGCGGGGAGAGGAGGCTGCGGCAAGAGTCAATGGCGGTCGAGGTGGAAGCGCACTTCGGCGTCAAACATACCGGATTATGGATGGCCTAGGGTCGCTGCGAGTGTAGCCTGTACGTACGAGAGTCAGCAAGATGCCTCACGGTAGAAGGGCTGTTGTGGGCCTTGACATACCAAGGTAGAGGATTAGAGGTAGATAGCCACTGCTAGGGGTCAGCACCTTGTATTCCGGGTTTGTCGAATCGACCCAAACATACTAGTGGATGGCAACGCGCGAGATCTCAATGATCTTGCCAATGCGCTCCTATTCCCAGTCAGTTAGCCGCCGTCGTGCCAGCGTTGAAGGTTTGAGGGGCTAATCGAACCTTGGACTCTTCGGAAAGGGCGAACATATTGAAAGGGGGTTCTCGAGATGTCGGGGCTGCGTATCCTGTTAGAGAGCCAATTTGGCTGGTGGTGTGCGAGAAGATGTACCTGTTATCTTGTGGGGAACCGGAGCGTGGACGGGTCTCGATGGTTTACAACTCGTCCTGGGGTCGGGTGATGATGGATTGCGGCAGAATCGATTTTTGGGCGGTCGCGAAACGGGCCTTGGCGAGGGCGACAGCTGCCCCGCCTGGGCAGAGCACCCCTGCAAATCACCCGTCAGCCTTCGCCAAGTCCAGAAAACTCCGCCAAGCTTCAACCGCGGTGATACATTGGTGCTTCCTCCGCGACTCTCGCGACTGGTTAGGTAGATTTTATTTCAGTTTCACCTCTAAACACAACCCAACCATTCGAGATTTCGCCGCCAAAATGTCCAAGCATTGGTAAGGCCGAAATTGGATTAACTTCTCCTCAAGAACCTCTACTCACAGCTTTAGGGAGCAAAACAAGGATGCGACGGTGTATGTCGGGAACATCGATGAGCGCTTCACTCAAGAGCTGCTCTCGGAGCTGATGACCCAGGTCGGCCCTGTGCGCCAGGTTCACATGCCTCAGGACCGCGTCTCGCAAACACACCAAGGTTACGGCTTCGTCGAATTCGACACCCCCGCCTCGGCCGAGTACGCCTCGAAAGTTCTTAATGGCATCCGCATTTGGGGCAAGCCCATCCGAGTCAACAAGGCCAGCGCCGACAAACAAAAGACGGTCGACATCGGTGCCGAGTTATTCATCAACAACCTCGACCCCCAGGTTGACGAGAAGATCCTATACGACACCTTCAGCCAGTTCGGACAGATCCTGCGCCAGCCCAACATCGTACGCGATGACAACAACATATCAAAGGGCTATGGCTTCGTCAGTTTCGACTCGTTCGAGGCCAGTGACGCTGCCGTGGGTACAATGAACGGCCAGTACCTGCTCAGCAAATCCATCACCGTCGAATACGCATACAAGAAGGACGGCAAGGGCGAGCGCCACGGCGACGAAGCCGAGCGCAAGCTCGCCGCCGAAGGAAAGAAGCACAACATCGTACCCGAACAACAAGTCCTCCCACCCGCCTTCCACATGTCCGCCTCATCCGCACAAGCAGGCGCCCCGCCAACCGGCCCCGCCGCCTCCGTCATCGACCCCTCCACCGCTATGCCCCCCATCACCCCCCTCAGCGCCGGCATGCCCTCGCCCGCCCCCTACGGCACTCTACCCCCAGGGCCCGCTGGCATGGGCCGCCCCGGCCCTCCACCACCCTCCTTCGGCGGCGGCGGTGGCGGCGGCGGTGGCGGACCCCGCGCCCCCATTGTCGGTTCCGCTGGCCTTCCACCCGCGCCCTCCGGCCTCCCAGCCCGCCCACCACCAAGCCACGCCGGCTTCGGCGGCCCCGTCGGCGGTTTCCCCCATCACCCGCCACCGTCGGGCTTCCCTGCCGGTGTTCCGCCCGGCCCGCCCGGTCCCGGTGGCCAGGTGCCGCCCCCGATGTACCCCGGCATGCCACCGCCGCCCGGCGGGTTTGCGGGTCCTGGTGGTGTGCCGCCTCCCGGCGCGCCGATCCCGCCGCCGGGCTTTATGCCGCCTCCGGGGAGTGTGCCGCCGGGGTTTGGGGCAGCGCCGCCTGCGGGTTTTGGGAGGCGTTAGAGAAGAGGAGGCGATGAGGTTGGATATGGATGGGATTGCGTGTGCGTGGGGGTATGCGTGAATGGATTGGTTCCCGCCCACGAAAGCTACGCGAAGGGGCAAAAGAATGTATTGGTTGAGCTGGGGCCCTGGGATTGCGCGCATCACGCTCTGCGAGAGTCGGAAAGCGATCATCGTGTTCGGCAGCGGATCACAAAACCGGTCACAGGAAACCCCGCTCCTGGCTCTCTTCTCAACGAGTTATCCGGACCGAGCGGGCGACGGGGGGACTTTGACAGTTCCTATTCCTAAGCTCTTTCTTGAGGTGCATGGGCGTCTTCAAACGGGTTAGCGACCACTGCGTCCTTACAAAATCAAAGGAGCTAACACCCACCGCAGCTCACTCTTGGTTGCTGGCAAAGCAGCTCCGCCAGTCATGGAAACGGAGTTTACCAATTTTTGCAACGGGGTTTGGGTCAACGGGGGGTAGTAATGGAGAGAATTAGCTGGACAGAATGGAAGACAACAGCGAGTGAGGCCGGAGTGAGATACCCATATAATAAATAACTGGAATGTTCATTTTACTGCGCTCCTTTTGAAAAAGCAAAGCTATCATTCTCCCCCCTTTCGGAACCAACCCAATGATAAATATGTTCCAAGAAACGGCTCAATGTCGTCGAGAGCCAGCCATGTCAGGCCTGGTGTCTGTGCCCTTGAATCAACGAACGGGCCATGCAAATAATACAGCTCAACTCATACAGTACAAGCCAGCAGCAAGGCAGCAGTAGCAGCCAGCGAGCCGGCCTCCGGCACCTCAACCACTCAATTCACTCACCGGAGCGATGAACGAGGGCTGCCCTGCCCAGCTGCCACGTAACAAGACAAAACAGTACAACACCCCCATCGCGGAAGTTTTTTTTTTTTTTTTTGCTCTAGGCGATCTCGTCCTCAGCCTCCATCGGCTGCGCCGTGTCTGCCTCTCCATTCCCTTGCTGTTGCTCCGCCGCCGCCTCCGCGGCCTGCGCCCTCCGCGCCCTCTCCTTCTCGGCCTCGACCAGGAACGCCTCCTCAATAGCGGCGCGGCGCCTAAACACGCGCAGCCAGCGGGCGCCCCACGAGCGCACGAGCTTCTCCCCCTCGCTGTTGGCCTCGGTCTCGGAGGACTCGATCATCTCGTCCTTGCTCCCCGAGGCCCACGAGGCCAGGGCGTCCTCAATGGCGGCGAACAGCGCGCGCATGGCCTTGATCTCGTCCTCGTCCTCGGCGGCGAGGGCGGGCTTGGCGACGAGCTGGCGCACACGGCCGGTGACCTTGATGACCGTGTTGAACACCATCTCGTACACGTGGGAGACCGAGAGGGCCTCGCCGCGGGTGTTGCCGGCGCGGCTGACGAGGGCCCAGGTGATGACGGTCTCCGGGGTGAGGATGCTGTAGTTGAGCAGCTTCTCGATGATGGAGAGGGCGACGCCCGGGTGGGCGGACCAGTAGGCCATGGTAGCCGAGATGATCTGGGAGCGTGCGGCGTCCGAGGCGGCGCCCGCGTCGGCGAGCCGGTCCTTGGTGCGCTCGATGGCCGCGAGCACGTGGGAGAGGGACTTGCTGCCGACGTGCAACACGCACGTTACGAACACGTCGGTGCTCGCCACCAACGCGTCGATCTCGCGGTCAATGGCCTGTGACTGGATGCGCTGGATGACGGCATCGATCTCTTCGTCGTCCGCTTTGCGCTTGAGGAGGCCGGCAATCTCACGGCCTTCGGCTGCGAAGGGGGTGTCTATTTTCGTTAGTTTGGGCTGAAAGCTAAGAGTGATGAGGAACCTACCATCTTTAGAAAACTTAAAGTCCGGCATATCCTTTTCCTTCTCCGGGCTGATCATCTCCTTGTATGGGTCTGGCAAGGTGTTCTTGATGCGCTGTGCGAAGCTGAGCCTGATCTCCTTGTCGAGGGCTCCGGCGATGAAGGCCTTGCGCGGGTGCGCATCCGGCAGGGACACGTCATCCACCCACTCAGTCCACTTCCAGGTAAAGCCAAAGTTGCTCAGATGGTGCGCGAACCAGTCCACGAAGCGGGAGGAAAGCTCCAGATCTAGGCGGGGTGTGTTGCGGTAGAGGTGGCGGATGGCACGGCCTAGACTCGGCGCAATCGCCGCCGGCGCGAGCTTGCACGCCTCGGTGAGGACCGAGTGGTAGTAGACCAGTTTCTGCTCCGGGGTCGGCAGCTGGAATAGCTGCGAAAATACGGCGTCCACTGCGACATCTTCTGGCTTCCACGTAGACTTGGGCGGCTCGATATCCCGCAACTTGTCGAACGGTGTAGCCCTCGCCGCAAAGGTCCGCGGAGAAAAGTAGCAGTCCAGGTCAATCAGATGCCGCGCTGTGACGTTGCGGTTGATGTGGAGGACGTTGATCGTGTCCAGCAGCGCATCTCGAATCACAGACGCAGCAATGTGGGTCAGGGGAGGCACCGACTCTACGTCCTGTCCCGCGTAGACCGAGAGGTAGATCTCCGGGAACAGCGGTCGCGGCCCGGCAACGACCGTCTCGGGGATGGTAATGGGTGGGGAGCGCATGTTTCGGGGCATCGTCGAGCTTCGACCGCTGCTCGACCTCCCCGATAGGAAACTCCCACGGCCTCGGCAGGCAGGACAGCGCCCACCCATTGTTGGCTTCGTTCTGAAGCTGGCTCTGCAGCAGCCCAATTAGACTCTGGGGTTGCGGCGGGCTCTCCCCCTCGGCGTCTGGCTGGTACGGTTCGATGAGCGCCTGGAGTGTCTGCGGCTCCGAGGCGATAATCTCGGTCTTCTCCATCAGGTCCACCGCCTTTTGCACCCACTGCCCCGGCGCAGCGACCATGATGTACGGAAGCGTCAGGAGAATGATCTTGACAATCTCGGTGCCAATCGTCTGCGTAACCAGTTAGCAACCAACCGCGCCTTTGTTCCCTCTTACCCTACCCCCAACACCCAACCACAAGAAAGAAGGAAAAGCCAAACTCACATCCTCCGAACTCGCCGTCTGCAAGTCCACCGCCCTCGCAAACAACTCCTCCAGCACGGGAAACACGCCCTCCCCCTCCAAACACCCCTGCAAGCACGCCAACAGCTTCAAATAAAGCTTCGCCTCCCTCCACTCGCCAGCGCCAATCTTGCCCTCCACCAACGGCCCCAACTTCGCCAACAGCATATCCACCACCTCGGGCCGAGCCGTATTCGCCAGCAGCACCACGGCGGCCACAAACGGCGTCTTGAGCGGCTGCTCGACGGCCAGCTGCAGGACGAGGTCGACAAAGTTGGCGCGCAGCAGCTCGTCGTCCCAGTTGTCGGTGAAGAGCGTGGCGATGGCCTGCGCCTCCTCGTGCCAGGGGCGCATCGGGTTCTCCGCGATGGCCACCAGCTGCTTGCGCACCCGCACGTGCGGCGGCGCGTCATAGCGCCGGCGCGCGCCGCGGCGGTCGTGCTCGTCGTCGTCTGTGAGGGAGGGAGGGGAGAGGGGTTAGTTTTCCTTTTTTTTTATCATTATTTTTTTTACGTCTGGTTGGGCTGGGAGGGAGGAGGGTGGAGGGTGTTGATTGTAGGGAAGCTCACCTCGGTAACGGCGCTTCTTGGGGTTGTAGCTGCTGCCGCCGCCGCCCCCTCTGCGGTCGTAGTCCGCCATTGTGGGAGGATTGTTGGCTCTAGGAGCAATCGCGATCGATAATTGCGGTCGAGAGTAGGTGTGGTGTGATGGGGGATGGTTGGAGAAGTTTTGTTGGCTGGGGTGGTTGATTATTTGCTGACAGGAAATGTATGTAAATGTAACCGCTGCTCACAGAAGACACGGCTTCGCGAAGAAGTTCACTCTCCAGTGCCAAACGCGAATTGAGAGTGGGTCGGGTCGCTGCAGGAGAGCAGCATTAGTTAGATCGATGGTTGCCTGAGATGCTGGGCACCCTTGCAGGCTGAGGGAAGCTTGTGGGGGAAATGGGGAAATAAATGGCTGTTGTCTCAATTGTCTGTTGGATTCAAGGACTCGAGCTTCCAACAACTTGAACCACCAATTGAAGAAGTTACAAGTGAGCTTGGATGTTTACCGACTCAATATAGCATATACCAACCGGAAACAATATCTCCCCGTTAACACGCACAATCCTTTCGATCACCCATTAACTATCTGTTTTCATTATCTGTCCTCGTATCGACTCTAGCCGATTCAAGCTCTGGATTTTGAGCTTCTGGTCGGGTTCCATGGGCAAATTATCATGGAAGGTAGGTACTCCTGTCATCACTGCTACTCGGGCTCACCACGACCATCACTTTTCATCCCGCCGGCACGATCACTCGCGCACACACAGTTGACTGCCTTAACCAATTGATAACGCAATAAGAGTCTTTTTCAGCCATGCCTCGGGGTACCAAACACGGGGGCAGCTCAAGCATGCCCGTTTTCCAGCACCAAAACCACTCAGATAGCCGCTATCCCCACGATGGAGGTGTAAAGGTTGTTGAGTCGAGTTGAGGAAGGGGGTTTGGTTGGGCGGAACGCAGTGAGACGACGAGCAAATAGAGCCACGACAACCAACCACCCAGTCTGCGGAGAACAAGAACACAACACGAACCCGTCCCATTTCTCTCTCTCGTCTTCCTCTCCGCCGTGCTTGCTTGCTAAAGGAGTCATCATCATCTACCCCCACCGACCAAAAACCAACCAGACCCCCAGCGCTTTGCTACCTTTATGTCCATCAATCCCACACTATATGGTCTCCCATCGGACCACCCTGATTGTCTCCTCCCTTGCAACTCCCCGCGAGGGTTGATCGCCAGTAAAGGTGAGAGACGAGGCTCGCAAGGCCAACGGCGTCAAGCCGCCGGTTCCCGACCTCCACAATCCACACAAAAAACCTAAGTTATATGCCATGGCATCCACATTCCCCTCAACAGCTACCTCCCAACAAAAACAAGGCGATGGTCGTGTGAACAAATTTCGGGAAAGTAGTAGCAACAGGGGCAGAAACGCTCCCCCAACCACTATAATCATTGTCGTTTTGTGCGTGCTACCACGGCACCAAAGAAACATGGAGCCTTGGCCGAAGCGAGGTCGAAGATGGCGGATGAAGTAAGCAAAAGCCATCTCGGTCTTGCAGAAAAAAGAAGAGCTCTAAAACGAAGAAGAAAAGAAGCGAAGAAAAAAAAAAGGGACCGCGGTCGTGGCGCCTTTCCCCCCAAAGCGGCCCTGCTTTCAACCACCCGGTTTCGTGCCCGCTCCTATCGAGGATGACTACCCGCGGACTATGGCTGTGTCCCGACCTGGACTAACATGCACCTCCACACGCGCATCTCTCGACACAGCTTGCTGATGGCAGGTCGTTTCGGCGGGGCTCGAGTCTCATCGCCCTGAAGGTTTTCTTTTTTTTCATTCGCCACCTCTTTGCTCGATGTGGGGTATCTCAATGGCAATTCCTTTCTGTCATCATCATGAACGGGGCGAGGGACCGAGAGTTGCTGCCTCCGGCTGCATCTCCGGGACGATATGTTGCTGGCGATGTACAGCATAAACTCCCAACATAACCGACACTGTTAGACCGTGACTTGAGAGCGAAAGCTCGTCAAGGCCGGCCAACTCAATCTAACTTCGCCATCATCTCCTGCTTCGCCATGGGTGTGAAGTTGCTAATATCGAGACCCCTCTCCATGAGCACCGGGATCATGTGGGGAGGGACGAGCTGGTCGTTTAGATGGGGGGCAATCGACAACTCTGGAATGGGTTGTGGTCAGTATACGTGTATTGCAGAAATAAGTGATAGAGACAGCAAAGGATCCTTACCATGGCGTGAGAAGTCGAACAGGGCAGGGAGATCACGGACTTGGCCTGTTCCGTGCCTCGAATCCGGAAGCCTGGTGTTGGGATCGCGGAGCTCGTCGAAGAACGGATGAACCATCGCATTGACGGCGGCCAGGCGCTCCGTCGGGGTGTACTCGAGCAAGCGGCCGATCAGATCGATGGCATTCGCATCCGCCTTCCGGAACACCTTGTTGAACGGATGAGGCTTGATCTGGGGAAACTTGTGCTCCATGTAGTTCGGGTTCATAGTTCGAATCTGCTCGCGAGTCGGCGTGCCCAGGACCTTGATGATCTCGACGAGTTGATCGATACCCGACTCTCCGGGGAAGAGCGGTTGCCCCAACATCAACTCCGCCATGACACAGCCGGTTGACCACACATCTAGTAGGCTCGAGGTCAGTTGCTGTTGCTACCCGAGAGCAGGGGCCGAGTTAGTTCCCCCCTTGCGGGTACTTACCAATCTTAGTTGTGTAGTTTGTCGCGCCGAAAATCAATTCCGGGGCGCGGTAGTATCGTGAGCAGATATACGAAACGTTCGGCTCGTTTTCGACCAGGATCTTGGCGCTACCAAAGTCACAGAGCTTGAGGACTCCGGTGGTGGGGTCTAGGAGGAGGTTCTGGGGCTTGATGTCGCGATGGCAGATACCCTGCGAGTGGATGTAGGCCAAGGCTCTGAAAAGCTGGTAGATGTAGAGCTTGACTTCGAGGGTAGGCATGGTCGTCTTCATCTTATTGAAGAACCGCGACGCCCGATACACGGTCTCTGGGACGAACTCCTGCACGAGGTTCAGATAGACCTCGTCTTTCTGTCATCGAATGAGTATAACCCCATTTCACCCGCGTCCGCGAATAAAACTTACGCGCTCCCCGTTTGAGTAGTAGAAAGCCTTCAGCTGCACGATGTTGGGGTGCCGCACGATCCTCATGATTTGCAGCTCGCGGTTCTTAAACCTCTTGTCCTGCAGGACCCGCTTGATGGCCGCATCCTCGTTTGATGGCGACAGCTTCGTCTGGAACACTACGCCAAAGGACCCGTTGCCGACAATCTTGCACTGGGTGTACTGTAAGTCGCGGGTCTCGCCGGTGATGCCGTCTTGGACCTTTTCGCGGATTACTTCTGCAGTGCTCGTCAGTATGCTGTCCGCCCGTCCGACGTCGGGCAATGTGGGGCGCGGCCTCACCTCCCATCCGCAGGTTGTTGAATGCTGCTGGCCTATTCGACGCCATGGCTGCGGTCCGTGGTGTGTTCTACCGCACGAAAAAGGCGATCAAATGGTACTGGTGGTGGGCGTAAAGAGGGATAAACCGGAAGAGCGTCGGTGTCGGCCGTGTTGGGCAACAAGTCGATGTATACGCGAGCGAAAAGATGGTGGTTACTGGGCTTGATGTTCGGATCCGGTGCCTTTTTTTTTTTTTTTTAGAGCGGCCGGGAAAATAGGTGCGCGATTCGGGGTCGAATTGACGATTTCCTTCAAGATGTAGGGATCGTTTGGGTGTTGGTAGTTCGTTGCCCGATGCCGGGGTATCGATTCCTTGGGGCGGGAGCGATGCACTTGGCGGCGCAGAGTAAATTCCAGGCGGGGAGCTGGTGCAGCTGGCGTGGGCTGCAGACAAACTTCCGGGTGGGGTGTGTGTGCTGGAGTAGGTTGTGTGAGGGAACTCTGTTTAAGTAGGGCCCCGCGGTTAGATAAAACTTCTGAGAAGTTCGTGAGTCACGCGATGATCTGCCGATGAGCTGAGGAAAGCGTGGTGGTGAGGTTTCCAAAGTTGGGTGGAGACCATGTGAATGTTGCGAGAAGGGAAGGATGTGAGGGCAGCAAGAAGGGGAGGTTTGAATTTCAGAGGCCGGGCCGGGATGAAGTGAGGTTTTGGAGGGGCGGGCGCGCTAGCTAAGTGAAATGACGGCGGGGAACAGCAGGGCACTGTGGTGGCGACCACCCACAAGGGCAGCCTGGCGTGTGCAGCAAGCGGCGCTGGCCAGGGTCAAGTGGCTCCGCGAGGATGCAAGACGCATGGACTCGACGACGGGCGGCTTGATCTGGATCTGGCCTACCAGCAAGAACAAGCAAAGCACCTCCGCTGCAGTGCACCGCGATCAAAGAAATGGCCGACAGCGAATAGCGCAACGTCGCCGTAAGCGGTGCGACATGGAAAAGGGGATTGGGAAGGCGCAAAAGAGGGAACAGGAACGGAACAACAAGGAGCAACAAATGGAACAGCGGCCGCGAGACGAAACGGATCGACGTGCGCAAGACTGCTGTTTTTTGGCTGTTTTTTCGCTGCTCTGCCTGCTGCAAAAATCCTGCCTCTTCGCATGCTGCAGCCCGCGCGCATCTGGTGAGGTCAGATGGCCACAGACTTGGCGCTCTGTACGATCGCTGCAGCCAACCAGCGCAGGCCAGATGAGGGGTTGGGGCCGGGAAGGGGCAAGGGTTGGGAGGCAGGTGAGTGTTTTGGGATAGCTCGGTGTAGGGCGAGACCGCGAAGAGAAAGGGGGACACAAGAGTTGAAACAGACAGCGGGAAACCTCAGACACTTACGCGCGCTTGTTTTTCGTGTTGCAGCGAGATTGTGCGCAGAGCCCTTTGGGGGGTTGGAGGAGGATTGGCGAGACGAACGGGCTCTGCTCGCGTGGTGAGGGGTTCGCTCCGGGCCGTCGTCAGTTTAACTAACTAGCTCCAACGCAGCCCAGGGTTGGCAAGGCGGCCGCTGTGGCTCGTGTGGCCTTGCCCGGTGGAATGGGAGGTGACGAAGTGGAAATAGCCTCCGTTTGGTTGGTCAGGACGGTTGATTGTTGGTCTGGGAGACGCCAGCCCCAAGATCAGCGGCACAGGTTCCAAGTTGTTGACACAATTGATGGGAAGAAAGGTGACAATGCAACTCTCCCGCTAAACAAAGAGAAACTCGGGGGTGCTTGGGGTAGGCGATGAAATGACAGCAATAGCGTGGGTAAGGGACGGGAGGTAGGTGGCCCGTGTCCTGTGCTGGTGTGCTTTGGGCAGATAATGGCCAGTGCCCCTTCAACGGCGTCACTGACGATACACTCGTTTTTGCTGCCAGAGGTGTGAGGTGCCCGGGCCAGAACCTGTTCGTACTTTCTAACGCTAGGTAGCTCCCTAGCTTTGAGCCGCAACTTGGTATGACTAGGGGAGCTAAATTAGAGCCGTTGCATCTACAAGCAGATACCTACACTATGACGCCCATTGATGCTTGTGACGTGATCCGATGGCGATGGGGAGAGATCCGTTCTCGTACCTGACGGGGTCTTAGAAATAGCCTCAAAGTGCGCCAGCGAGCTCTGGTGGGGACAGGCTGCTCGGCGTGCCAGGCCGCCTGCAAGCCAGTGAGCCAGTGCTTGGTGGCTTCCGAGCGTCTCGAGTGTGTGGGTCAATCCTGCCGTCTTTGTTCGCCCCCCGCCCCCCCTGTAAAGGTAAGAGGCCCGATGTGGAGCAGAGTTGTATTGGTCACCTGCTCGCTTCTCGCTTCCGGGACACAAATAGCTCTCACGGGGTCCAATTGATGAAAGGGTTCCCAGTTTGAAGATGTTTAGATGAATGGGGTAATTCGGTCAACATCTACGCATTTTTGAAGCCTCGAGTAATCAGGTCTCCGTGAGTTGTTGACGGGGCATTCCGGTTGCGGTCTAGGTGAGTTTTACAGCTTGGGCGGTTAGTGTGCAACATGAGCAAGCAGGTGGGCGAAGCATGAGACGCGCAGTGGCAACTCGCGCAACAGGCTCTTCGAAGCAGCTGACCCAGAGAGCCTGAGACGCGGCGAAAAGACTTTGTTGACACTTGGTTGAGAAAACCTTCAATCGGCACGTGGTGCTCAAGAGACGAGTTTCAACATAGCTACCTTTCCCAAGGGGCCGTCTCGCGGCCCGAGGCCGACTCCTCCTGAATAACTATTCTGGCATTCCGGTGAGACGGAATCGGGTCTGTGGGTGCCAGGTGGACGGGACGACGGGAGAGCATGAGGAGCGACGATCTGCGCCAGGCTGTCAAAAGACAATGTGGGTTGTCTTGCATCGATCCGGAACTTCCATGTCTCCCTGTTCCAACCCGGTGACGCCTCTGAGTGCTCAACATTTGGCAACTTCGTCAGCCCTTCGCTTGGTCTCCGAGATGCAGCACTAGGGCGTGCTCTCATAGGCTTGTTCCTGAGAACTCAATCCCGTCCCCTTTGCGATCTCCCCCACTCTGATCGTGGCATGTTGCTGCCGTGTTCGTTGGGTGCCAGCTTTCTGACGATGCTGCCAGCGCCGAGTGACGATGGTGGGGCAGCTGCGGATTGGATTGTCTTGCTCCCATGTATGTACCTCGACCAAATAGTCCATGATCAGCCATTACCCGCAGCCCTCTGCTCCATCGTGCTGCCACTCCGCAACAACTCGGGAGGTGTGCTGCACGAGACTCATTACGGCCAGCGTGGTCCGCCATCGTGCCAGCAAGATGGGACTGCATAACTAGGGAACTGGCAAGCATCGACAACATGACCCATTCCAAAGCCTAATGACGGCGCCCTTTCCCGAAGGCTATGAGAAGTGAGAACCCGAGAACTGAGAGCTTCGTAGTCTCACAGCATACATCCATGAGGGGCTGCCACGCAAAACGGCGATCCGCCTTGCTGCAAGGATCCCCGATTGGGGTCGTGGACAGCCCGATGCTCGCATGCGTCATCGAGCCAGTGCAAAAAGCCCAATCGCTCACCATTCTCTCTACCACCAAAGGTGCCCGACACGATCGCATCACTGGCATCTCTGCATGCGTTGTTCTGCGACGTCTGGACTCTGCAGAGGGTGGATCTCTTGAGGCGCTTTGTAGGTCCCATGACCACTTCAAATGAACGAATCCACCCGGATGGACCAGGAAGATCGTGGCTAGGCTGGAATCCTGTTCGTTTGACGGAGCGCCGTGGTCATCTGGGAACCAGAAAAGGGGAGACAAGCATCATCGACTCTCCTGGGCGGTTACTGGACAATGCATTGACGAATGAGCAGCTCCAAACGGAAGCCGGGAGGCACGCAAAAGCATGGAGCTCGTGGGCACTTCATGAATGGCCTGTTTGCCCGTCGCCGCCGAAGTGTTGCTCAGGAGTCGGTTTCGATGCGTCGGCCCGTAAAGGCAAGAGAGAAAAGTCTCGATGCTTTTGTGGCTGGCCATTCATGGTTATCCCGAGTCGATGGCTCCGAGATAGCGCGCCCGCGGACGAGTACCGGGCGCGAAAAGGCCTGATCTGCGGCCGCCGGGCGAACAGCCAAAACCAGTGTTTCCTCCAATTATAGAAACAATCGTGGGATTCAAGACTTTAATTTTCGGAATATACCGCCGCTCATTATTGTGTATATTCAAGAACAATAAGTCTGCGTTCCACGGCAGCGGTCGACCAACATGCTGGCGGGCAGGACTGTGAGAGAATGAGGAGTCGGCTCAGTTGGGTAGGTGCATCCGGCAGTTGAACATGTGATTACTAGTTTATGTGAGATGATTAAATTGGGTGCAACATCCCGCGGCTTGGGTTGGCCGGTGAGAGGGCGGGAAGGTCATTGAAAATATAGGTCCTGTACGAAGTACTACTCGAGCCAGTGCTTGGATTCTAGGTAAGTTGTTGCACGCTCGGGGCTTGTTGGTGAATGCGATACGATACGGATACCCACAGCAGCAACCTCTCATGCCAAGATCCGAGTCTTCAATCGAAGTGGTCCGTGTTTCCCCTGCTGGACCCTTGGATGAGCTGGTGGGGTTACGTGAGCACAGACCTTATCGTTGCAACCGCGACTTCCATCCTCATCCCAAGCTCATGGGCGCAACTTCCATTACGAGGCATTGGCATTAGCCACAACTGATTTATCGCACAAACAACCTACTGTTTTTTTGTTGTTTCTGAGTCATATGTTTAGAAGGAAATGACGACCCATTTAGGGGAGAATGACATGGCTGGCGAGGAGGGTTCACTGGGATTTCTACCAGCAAATTGGCGGATATTGCAGCATCATGCACATTCGCTTCGCTTCGATTTGCTGCACCCGCGGCCTTCCTGCATATATCCGGCCACTCGCGGTTATGCCTCTCGCGCAATTCATTATCGGGTTCCCCAGATGGGGAAATGGGAGACCATAGAGGCCTGTTGTTAGAGAGGGGCGAGTCCCCATCTTGAGCTGTTCTGCTGACGATATCTCGTTATATTTTAGATCTTGAAGGGGAGTCGCCTTTGGAAGAAGTAGTTACACACACGCTCACACGAGTTTTTTGGTGGCACACTTCCCTAAAGTGATGTAGTAACGATTAACTTATATTTGAGATGGTTGTACTTCGTATTCGTTACTCTACCTCCCACATGCTGGTGTGTTGATGGCTCAGCTCAGTTAGTCCCGAATACTGAAGCTGGCCTGCACCGGCAACATCATGCAGGTCACCTTCTGCTCGTTCATTGCCCAGTCGCCCCCCACGGATCTAGCCACGGCCCCCATATCGGGCAGCATGCATTGCGAAGGTTTTAAGAACGGCAACCGACAAAGTCGGAACTCGTCAAAGACGAGTGTCCGGTGGACTGGGAATAGTTCGGCGGTTGGTTTCCGTCCTATCGATGTATAATACCAACGAGAAGCCATTTGCCATCGTCGGCCATGTGCTACCCACCCCGACGCCGGCTCTTACCCAACTCCGCCGGAAACACGGTCCTGCCCCCGCCCTTCAACACCTCCAAACAGTGGGCTACCGTGCGTTGGGCATCAGCGGGAGCAACCGGGACAGCCGAAACCGGAAACATTACGCATCATCATGCATATCGCGCGTGCATGTTTCTGCCCTTGTCCCACGTCAGCAAACCCAACGTCAACATCATATCGTGCGGGCGAGTAAGAGACGAAAGAGTTGGCCCTCACCTGGGGGCCCGCAGCCGCTATGGGAGTGTTTGTGAAGATTGACCTCCTAGGGCGAGTTCGCAGCTCGGTTAGGCTGAGAAATGGGAAGACATGCTGGGTTGTACTAAAGGTTGGAGGAACATGTACATGTACCCTGGTTGCTATTCGCCAATTTGGCCGCGTATGATGTCTCTGAAGTGAGATTGTGAATCTGAAACTAAGAGGAATGATTAACTTATCGTTAGTTATTCGCCCTATTATCGCGTGGAGGATACGTCACGTCATGCATCAGTCATCGTCATCGTTCTCAAGGCAATATCAACCGAGTTCCGTTAAGTTGTGAGGCCCGTGATGCCTTTATCATATCATAGTGATAGACTAAAATTGGCACAAAAACCGCTAGCAAGAGGGCAAACACATCCAAAAGCATGGTTATCAAAAATAATAACAAAAACGAAAAAGAAAACAACAGCAAAAGCTCACCAGCTAGTTCCTTCCCGGGTTTGGGTGGTAGCTGGCTACGAAACCCAAGTTACAGGGTTTACTTCGGAGTAGGAGTGAGCTCGCTGCCCGGGGGTTGGGCTCTTACGACTTGAACTGTCACCACCATCCCTCGACGCTCGAGCCTCCATTCTGTATCGTGCCGCCGCAAGACCCAGGATTAACAGCAGAACCGTAGTCAAGAAAATCCCGTTCTCAGTGACATATTTCCCATGAGAGGGCATCCCCAAACCTCATTGCCAGCTTGAAATGGCAGCACCGGTACACAGGAGGACTCTGGATGATACATGCCAATTACCTGCATATCATACACCGTTCGTTCCCAAGCGCCCCCGTATGCCGTATGAAGCGTAGAAAACGCCAAACCCAATGAAACCGCTAAACCATCCAGCCCATCCCCTCTAATCACGGCATCTCGCCTTCCCCATCAAGCCTCACCCAACAAAAGAAGTCACCCACCCCGCCCCTGATCTGCATCAACCCCAGCCCCTTCCATTACCGCCAGCGGCCCAGCTCACAGAGAGAGGTTATACGAATACTCGTCCTCCATATTTTGGCTGATCCACAAAACCACCGAGCTAGATAGCAAGGGCATCAATTAGCAAACCCAATCCCAACACCAACACAGCCCCCCCTCACCACCCCTCCCCCCAAAAAAGAAATAACTCACCTCAACCCCACTAACGCATTAGCAACCAAATTCTCCACCCCCATCGTCATCGCCGGAAACGCGACCCCAGGCACCACAAACTTGAGCACAAACACCGTCACCCCGCCCGCCATCCCCCCCGCCAGCGCCGCGAAGCCCAGGAACAGCACGACGCGGGCCTTCCAGGCGACGCCCGAGCCCGAGTAGCTGAACGAGTCGGCCGACAGGCGGGCCTTCTCGACGCTGTTGATGATGAGCATGCCCAGCGACGAGAAGAGGAAGGGCAGCCAGTCGACAAAGGTCACGTGCAGGGTGGAGCTGTTGAGCGCGGATTTGGACCACACGGCCGAGTCGAGGAGTGTGTAGAAGGCGAGGGAGAACTGTGTGTGTGTGGTAAAAAGGGGGTTAGTGAGGGGGGGGGTCTTTGCGTGGTCGGTTGGTTGTCTTTGGGGGAGGGAGGAGAGAGGATGGAGGGGAGGGGGTGTGAGGGAGGCACCGTACCAGACCACCAGCGCCGTATACGCCTGCGTTGCGGGCCCAGGCGCTGTTGAGCCATTCTGGCCTGCGGAACTTCCAGAGGCGGTCTTCGGACATGGTGATGGTTGGTTTCGGTTGGGCGGTACGGCGCGGAGCGATTGGCTGGGCGGGAGCTGGAGGCGTCGATTTCGTTGCTTATATCGATGTGATTATGTTGATAAATAACTTCGCTCAAATAAAACTCGGGGCTGGGCGTGGTAAATCGTCGGTGGTTGTTGTGTGGTCGTCGTCGCGGTGGTTGATCGGGGGATGCACGGGGCGTGAGCTCAGCTGCTGTTTCGAGGATGACGACGTTGGAGCGGCTGGGCCGGTTGATCCACCCGCCAAGGCTGACCTTCTTGGCACGAACTGAGCAATGAGCTGCAACAGCACGTGATTACCCTGATCGTTGATGGCTTGCTTGCTTCACTGGAAAGTAATTGGAGACCGTGGTTATATAAACTTATCACTGGAGCGAGGGCGATACTCCTCAACTCGAGTCTCAAGCAAAGAATGCTGATAATCAAAATACCACTGTCAAGCACAATCATTGGCACATTGTCTGTCTACAGTTAACGATCAGCACACGACGGTCTAACCCCCTGAATGTCGAACGCCTCCAATCGTCGCCACTTCTCCGGCTTCCCCATCCGCAACCAAAAAGCCAAAAAGAAAGAAAAAGGCCGAGGCCACATTAGGTAGTAGCGGATAGACCCAAGTATAATGTACAGCAGAATGTCATGTCCTCCCCCCCGGACATCACTGTCAGCAACACCGAAGTGAACACCACCCATCCTCCACAAAGTAAGACGGGGTTATAAGGGTAGGTAGAACAAGGTTAAACCGAGCCTCCAAAAGAAGAGCTCTGTTCGCAGCGTCTAAAGCCGCGGCAACGAAGAAGAATTCCCCACCGCAAATAGCCAGACAGAGACAGTGGGAGCGCGTGTCGGACCGAAGCGACGCCGTGTCAAAATAAAGATGCCCAAGCAGACCCTGATCCTGTTGTTGGTGATCGGGCAAAGTACGCCTGCAACGCCCGGAGGTATTCCCCGCCCCGATGTATGTTTAATGTATGAAAATGCGTGCTGCAGGCAGTCAGTCTGCCCGAGAGCACGTGCTTGCTTGCAGCTCATCATCCGGTCGTAGCATTGCGTCCTTGTCTGCTCCTCCAATTCCGTACCGGCTCAAATCAAATCTCAATCGTCTTCATTGCGCCCTCAATCTCCTCTTCTACGGTGGGCTTCCGGTCGGGTGCCGCTGAGCTGTTTGGTTGGGCTGCTCCTGGCTTCTCCGCCTTATCGTCGGCAGGGGCATCGCCGTTGGTCAAGGCGGCTAGCCTCGGGGCGGACTCCTTGTTTTCTTCGTTGCTTTGTCGTGGGGTGTCGACCTCGACCAGCTTCTCACCCGACTTGCCGGCGGCTGGGCTTGAAGCCCCCGACTCCTCCGCCACCCGCGCCAAGGGACTCGGCTTGCCATAGCCGGGCCGGATAGGACTCGGGATAGGCGAGATAACGTTGGGACGCTGCATCGACCGGCCGCGATGCTCACCGTTGGGCTCGGTTGTCGGGCTGGCGTACGGCGAGTTCGGCGCACTAAGCGAGCTCGCCCCGGGCGCCATGGACTTGCGCTTGGCAGCTGTGCGGCCGTGTCTTTGGTCCGCCCGCCACCGCAGGATATCAAAGTAGCCTGGCTCAACGCGGCTTTGCTTGAACTCGCGCAGCTTAAGGTCGTTTGAGTCTTCGTCAACGTACCACCTCCCGCTGCTCAGATCGTCCGCAACAGTGCCGAGGAGATGCGCCCACGACCGCGCGACCACGTACTTCGTGTCATAGTCCCGACCGAAAAGGATGACCTGGCCCCAATGACCCTTGGGGCCGGGCGCAAGATCGATGGCCAGGTTGTTTCCGCCCCAGTCGCGCACAAGGGGAATCCAGGCGGGGTGAGCATACGCCTTCTGGATCGCATTCGGGGGAACGCAGTCTTGACGGGCCATCAGGTCTTGCCGCCAGTTCCCGTTTCGCGGCGATGTTGGGGCTGAGCTTGACGAAGCCGCCGCTGATGTAGATGCCTGGCTGCTGCTACCACCGAGAGCCTTGGACGGGACCGCCGGCCGGGGGAAAGTAGACTCCAGCAGGAATTCCTGGTTCACCTTGCGCCAGTTCTCCCATTCCTGCACGATCTCCTCGCAGTCCATAAGCATGGCGCTAAAGAAGATACCCGTGGGGGTCCCGCCGCGCTCTTGGCCATCATGTAACTGGAGTGATTCCCGAACATCCTGGGGAAGTGAGCAATCGAGCTGGTGTTCTAGGTCGTTGATATCGTTGGACGTGCATCCTTCGCAAAGCTGGTCGAACAACTCGGGGTAGTTCTCTTCGGCCCAGTTGTCGATCTTGTCCCACGAAGCGCCGACAGGTGGAGGCGGTGGCATTCCGTCGCGGAAAGATTGCATGGGGATCTCGCCCGTCGGACTCTGCATCTCGAAACCATCGTTTGCGGTAGACTGCCGTGCAGATTGCGATCTCATGCCGGGGGAGTAGGGCCTGGGGGAGGTGACGGCGTTTCCGGCCGCGTCGAATGTGGAGGATGAATGGCGACTCGACTCATCGTGGTACGGCGATGTGATGTCGGCACGGGAGTCGCCGGCGGTCGCGACCGAGGTCAACCCGTTTCTCGCGTTCAAGGGGACATGGCGCCCAGTTCGGTAGGGGGAGTCGTGATTGGAATCTGGCTATCGTTAGTAAATCGCGAACGTAGGGTTGGAATTCCGAGGTTTGCTAACGTCGGTCATCGCTGGTCATGGTATGCCAGAAAGATTTGAAGACGGTGCCTAGGCTGGATTCGGAACAACTGATTAGCAAGTGACAGACAACCGCAGAGGTATGAAAATGCAGAGCTACTCACGAATCCATTTTGGGCAACGGGTTATGGACGTGACGGGGAGCGATAGGAGGACCGTAAAATCAATCGAGAAAAAATGGCGAACCGCGTTCCCCAGCAGCCGTACAGAGGGCAGCGGGTGTGCGCCGAAAGGGAGAGCGAGGGTGAAGTTGGCGCCGAGACTCCGGCTGGGAGAAGAGAATCCAAGGCCCGCACACGAAACCAACCAAGGGATTTAGGGACCGAAACAACCAAACGAGCGATGCGGTCCGCATTGATGACAGTGATGTACGTTAGTTAGGTGAGGCAGTTAGTCCGGCGGCTGGAGGAAAACTAGGAAGACAATGACGAGAGAAGGTTGCTTGTGGGCTTCCAAGCTTCTCCTGTTCGGGTCAGGTCGGGAAAGGAATCAGCCAATGCAAGCCTTTCTAAACGGTGAGCCTGCCCGACTACAGCACTTTTAATGAATGGAAGGGGGTTGCTAAGGGGGGAGCGTTCCCACTTTGCTCATGGTGGTGGGGCGTGACAGGCTGGGGAGTGTTGAAGCCAGCTGCAGGCTCTGATTTCAGCACCCTCGGGGGTCCACTGCGCAGAATGCCAAGCGGATTAGGGAGAACATGTCATGTTCTATTGGAGCATTCTCGGCTGGAGGCAGCCCCTGGAGTGAATGCAGGATCAGGGGCATTAACATGGGGGCGTTGGGACAATACCGGTTCTTGTAACAACGGCACTGCAAAATGGAATGTTACCTTCTATCAGAGCAATCTCGGACCTTAACACAGCACCAAGCTTTTGACAAGGCGAGCCTTGGCCGCAATTGACACAACGTCACTGTTGCGCGGTCGATTGGCATCCGAGATTTTGAGGGTTAACCCAACCAACCTGTCACTGCTTGACCGTGGTAGGTGCTTTAATAGGTTCCTAGGTAGGTATTCCACATGTGGCAACCGACACTAAGGGATTTGTAACCTCGAGAGTGTGGGGAACAAGTCTTGTTATGATCCATGTAAAAATAGAATATGCAACAGACCCAACTTTGTGAGTTAGCACAGGAGGCACACTTCTCTGCCCTCTGGGACTTCAGTCTAAGCACGTGCTACGGTAGTTGGTTGATATCCGGACAGATCTTTTAGTTACCTATAGGTTGTACTTGATATCGAGGCCGCCTGTTATCTCCCCTTACAACAATCCCGCAGTTTCGCACCCACCGCTGCAACTTTCACCGAGTCGATCCCCACCTCAGCTGGACAACGATCAGCGGCTCGGATCTCGCCCTACTCTCGGTGTCTCGCCACTCCATCGTCACCCAGCCCGGCGGACAACAAGCGCCGTCATTTCGCATTCACCCTCTCCGATTAAGGTAACCCTCAGAAACTAAGACAAGCCAAGACCAAGCAAGCATTTCAGAGACCACTCCCCCAAACCGGCGCAACCACCGCCTGACCTCAAATTCCTAAACTCCGAAACAAACAACCGCCCTTACACAACCCAATCCTACCCGCCCTCCCCCAATTGACCCCAAAAAGTAACCCCGCACCGGAGGTCCTGTCTAGGGATCGGCGGCGGCTGCTGCTTTGCTGCTTGCTGGTTACGTCCGTTCTGCTGAGGTTGACAAGCCTCCCGGGTTCTGTTTCAACCGGCCCATGAACTTAGCCCAGCCCTGGACTAGGTAGGTCGGCCCAGACCAGCAGACCTCTACGCGGCCCCAGGAAATAGACGGTGCTTGTTGTTTCAACCCCAGTTTGGGGCGCCAAAGTACCTTACCCAGGCTTTTGTGTTTGGGGGTTCAACGGCTTGTTTCGAGTTTCAGACGGGGTAGCAATGGGCTTGGCTTTTTGGGAGGGGACGGCGGATGATGCACCACCGTTTTTGCAGTTGGAAACGGCAGTTTGCAGATACGGGGTTGATGATCCCGATGGACCGCGTGCAGGTTGTTTGTTGATAGTGCTGTGTCCGGTATGGGGCCACCCAGGCAGATAGTGCGGCCTGCGGGCACTTAATGCGAGTAGCCTTGAGGTAGGGTGTAACAGGAAGTGAATGGGAGACGAGGCCATGGCCGCCTCGACCATGCCCCAGTTCAGGCGATAAATCTGAAGTCGTGGTCGGGCAAGTAGTGCAATGCACATTGTAAAGAGCAAAGCAAAATGCACCATGTATGCGCATCGTACACCCACAAGGTGCCATTTTGACCACAGCATTTGGATAACCATCACACGATGGCCCCAAGCTTCCACGACCTCTCATCACACATGCTACCAGCTTAGAACCACGCCACCCAATTTCCCACTATCTAGCGTCCAACCGCCAAACTCCACAACCCCCATCCCGCCCAAAACAACCCCCCTTATCCGTAAATGGCACCGACCTAGCTCTGCCACATATACTCGCTCAACCCCAACAGCTTATCCGCCAACTGCCTCTTCGCAGCAGCCGCCACCCCCCTCTCGGGATCCGCAAGCTGCTCGCTATAGCACAGTTCCAACAGCGCCTTGAGCTCGTCATACGTAAAGCTCACACCACCACCACCACCAGCCCCGGCCGCCTCCTCCCCATCACCAGCAGCAGCAGCAGCAGCATCCCTCGCCCTCTCGGCATCCTCCTTGGCACGCTTGACAATCCCATCCGGCCCCGCGGCAAACAAGCCAAAGTACTCCCTCGCCCTGGCCAACTCGGCGCCCGGCCCGACCTCAATATTCTTCAGATTCTGCTGCAGGACGAGCACATTCAGGCGCATGCGACCACAGCCCTTGGCGTTCATGGGGGCGGTCATGGCGGCGTTGCGCACGAGGTACGAGTTGATGAGCAGGCCGAGGCCCGTGCGGACGAAGGCGACCTCGCGCTCGCGCAGGAAGTGCGAGGTGGTCTCGTCGAAGGCCACCATCTCGTTGTTGAGCGAGAGGATCTCCGGGTCGGGCTCGGTGACCTCCTGCTCGAGGAGGTAGGGTGCGGTTTGGGAGGGGGAGAGGGCTGTGCAGAGGGAGTGCAGGATGCGGCAGCGGACTTTCGGCGTGTAGGGTTTGGAGGGCTGTGGTGGCGAGGGAGGTGTAGGAGGTGAGGATGCTGTCGAAGGATCTGGGTGGGGGGTGGGGGTTAGTTTCGGTGGTTTAAATAGGGATGGGTCAGGGGGGCGGGTGGAAAAGAGGTGGGCTGGAAACTTACAGGACGGTCTCTTGCGTCATGGGCAAGTATACTGGGCCCTCGTCTGCGGTGGCCTTGTTGGGGTCGTTGAGCAGCGTCCAGCGTTTCTTTTCGGGTTTGGGAAGACTGGAGCGGGACGAGTCGGTCTCGTTCTTGGTGATGTGCCGCAGACTGAGAATCTTGACCGAGAGCCACTTCATGCTGGTGTACAACAGGCAGAGCGATGAGATGGTGTCACGGTCTTGGATGATATCACTGGCGTCGAGCCTTTTCACCTTTGTTTGTGCCATGAGCAGGTCGGCCTCTTTCTCGAGGAGTCCGAAATCGGTCGCCTCGGCCTCCCATAGCTTCTGCATCATCTCGTGGACCTCACTCGGTTCAAGAGCCAGCACGGCAGATGCCCGTAGCTCCTCGGCGCTAGATGCTTCTTCTTGGGTTTTGGTGACCAAGGCCTTGTACCAGGTAAAGCACCTGTCATAGTACCGAAGCATTTGGCTTATAATGAGCGCGCTGAGTGCCTGATCGTGTGGGATGGTGCCCAGCATTCGACAGAATGCCGTCACAATCGTAAAGAAAGCTGTCGCACCCTTGAACACGGGCCGTTTAGCAACCCGCGCCCACTCCGAATCCTGGAAGAAGGCATCCGCCTCGCCAAAAACGGTGTCGCTGAGCTTTCCGAGGGTTTCGTCCAGTTGGGGTTGGAAGACGTTGACGAGGAAGTTATCGAGGAACGACGTGAGGGTGCTGGTCGCCAGATCTGATCCGGGCGGGACGATGTTCTTTAGACGCTGCAGAAAGATGAGAGTAGGTGGCAGCAACAAGCTCATGTTGAATACGCTAGGCTCGACCAACGACTTGTATGTCCCGCTGCCCTGGTTACTGCCGTAACCGGTAGTGCTCTTCCGCGTGGCCGGGTCAGACCGTGGGACAACCAGGCCCTTTTTGCCATCACCCTTGCGTGAGCTGGAGGTCAAGCCCGGCACAGCAGCTTGGATGATGCCGTCCAAGGCCTCGTATTCGGTTGCCATCTCGGTCGACTTGGAGTCGACCTCAGAGAACTTGAAGAGGTGCTCCCGCGCCGCATCCTTCGTCCCGTTCATCCCCATGCCAGGCCTGGGTGAAGAGCGGAACTGGTAGACGTCGGCATCCGTCGTGACATAGTTATGCAAGAGGGAACGGATCTCGTTTTGATACAAATTCCAGAGCTCCTTGAAGCTGCCCAGCAGCGCAATGTTATTGCCGGCTCCCTCGCGGCGAATGAGCGCTTTGATGGATTCATGGAACACGCGGTGACCCTCAGCCATGGCCTCGAACTTTCCGTAGAGCGTCCAGAGCAGATCGTAAATGACATCTGCCCTCATCCTGGTCTCGCGCTGTCCGTAAATATGGAGGCCATGGGAGCCATTAGAGCCACCCCTCAAAGAGCTGGGGTGTTTTTGATCGATGTCGTTAATGGTTTCGTTCACCACCGCAAACAGTTCAACGGGTAACCTCTGCTTTAGTGTGTCGACGGCAGACTCTAACCTCCCCAACCTATTCAGAGCCTCAACTAGCAGCGTGACGTAATAGAAGGTGTCGGCTTCGGGGTTCTTGTGGGGGTCTTCGGTCACAGATCGGTCCCAATCGATGGTATCAAGAACAGCATGGAATGGCACTACAGCTGGCGCGTCCTTAAAAGCCTTGCCGAGTGCGCCCTGGCTTTTTGGCCAGGTTCTGCCAGCGTTCCTGACAGTATGGGGATTTGAGGTACAGGTGCTCGTGCAGCTCCTCAACCAATATGTCCATCAGCGCGGTCTCCTGATTTGCCAGATAGTTACGCAGCTCGCTCAGTGCCCCGATGTCATCCAGTTCGGGTTTCGTCAACTTGCGCAGGGCGTTTTGGAGGACTTCGACGGCGGTAAGAAAGCGCTTCTCTGATATCCTAGCCTCGAGTTGGTCGGGGACCGCGCGCAAGTCATCTAGCTCGTTCAGGGTCTGCAGTACGCCATCGTACATGTGCGATGTGGCGTGTAGCTTCTTGAGTTCCGGGTCTGTTTGCGCAGAGGGCCGTCTTGGACGTCGCCAGCGACTCCTTGAGGGTGCGCACCTCTT